CCATGTCTCAGGACGATGTCTAGCAGATGAGAAAAAGCACATTGAGGGAAGAAGGCACAGACTGTGTGAAGGCACAGCACACATGGTTGCCTTCCTGAGGGGATCGTGGGAGGAAGTTAACACAATGGGGAAGTACAGGAAATGCTTATAGCACATGTTCCTCTAAGGACAGAACCTGTACTTTCCAACACTCATGGACACTCCTCCTCTCAAACTACTCATTTCCCCCTAGAAAGGTGACCAATAAAGGGGCTTAACAGAGTTGAAAACATTGGGAGACAAAACAAGAGAAGGGAATCAACTATCTGGCTCCCACTCCAATTTATGGGAGGACTGATGCATGTGTGTAGAGCATGGTGTTCCCTGTGACTGTCACCACCTACAAGGAAGAATGTGGCTTCACACTAGCTCTGTCCCAAAGCACGGCATGGCTGCCCGGGGGCTCCATGTGGGACAACACAGTCTTCTTCCTGGTTGTGCAGTTTTGAGGCATTCCCATTGGAGTTCCACTCCTTTGTTCTAAATGCACTTTGTACAAAGAAACAGACAGAACCTGAAACAGAGATCATGTTTTCAGGAAAGCATAATAGTTCTTATTTTCTGATTAAAATAGAAAACTAGGAGGGTGGCAGAGTGGCAATAAATTTGCACGGATTTGACAGAGGCTACATTCTAGTCACAGTTAATACCCGCAGTCAAGGTCCATAATGGCTCAAAGTAAGTAAGTTCTTGGAGTCAGTAGGAGACACACATGTGTCGAGCCTCCTAATGAGCCTCAGTAATGCAGGAAAACTATTCTCAACAAAAGGAGATTACACACGTGTCAGGTACACTCTGTGGGGTGTGGGCAGTTGTAGCAGCAGAAATGGGTCCTCTCCATACACTGGTGACAAGGAAAGAGGGCTCCTGGTTTGAGGAAAAGAGCAGCTGCTGTTCCCAGGGTGGTGACTGCAGCTCAGAGCTGTTAGCAGTGGAACTGAGTGGAGAGTGTGGGAGTTATAGGCATAATTAGAGGCTGACCACTTGACATGACATCCATAGCCTGGTGCCTGAGTGTCGGATTTGTTTGTGCACAGGTTTCTTCTGCAGCAGGACAGCTCTTCCCATGTTGTTCTTCCTCCTGGTGCCTCGCATCTTCCATGGACAGGTCTTTCTGAGCTTCTAACTCAACCTTCTCTGGTCCACCACTTTCTGTCTATAGTTCTCTTCTCCACAGCCAGCAGAAATGGTTCCTCAACAACAAGGTAGTTCTTCTCTTTATGGAGCAAAGAACTGCTGGGTCAAGAGGCTGTGTGGATGAGGCTTGAAGCAAGTGGCTTCTTTCTGCTCTTTCAGATCTTCTTCCAGCTGCTTCTTCCTACTGCTGCCTTCAGAGCTGTCAGTCATTAAAGCCAGTGATTCCTGATATGGACAGCAACACGACTGTATCCACAAGGACTGATCCTGAGGCACAGAAACCCCACAAAGAAAGTACATAGAGTACAATGGCCCATTTATGAATTCTACAAAATTAAAGCTAGTATAAGGTGACATGAGAAAGAACAATAGCTATGTGGGGACAGGGTGAACAAGGGAAAGGGAAGGAGGAATTCCAGAGGGAAATGCTGGAAATTTTAGGGAGAATTGAAGCACTCACTGTCAGTAATGTTGATTGTGACACCTGTGTTTATATATCACACACTCCGTTTATGGGCCGTTCATCTTGTGTCACATATACACATCGAACTTATTATAGGTAATAACAAAGGTGATTCTAAAGGGACGTAGAGAGAGTGAATGTTAAAGACATGAAAATACACCTACACGATGCTGATTTTTTTCTGTATTTATGGTAAAGTATAAAATAAGCAAAATCAATCCATCCCCATTACAGGAGGACTTCCACATGCCTCATAGCCTGACACTCTGTCCTGCAGATGATTTGGGGTAGGGGGCAGCAATTCCTGTGGGGAGAGTACTGACCTAGATCCTGGGGTATTTCTCACCGCATATGTTTTCATGGACACCTTACAAACACAAGTATACACCCTGGAAAGTTATATAATAAAAAACATTTATTTTCAAAATTGGTCATTAGCACTAAATTAAAGGTATTCACAACTGCTTGGGTCACTGCCTCTCTGTCAGAATAGATCCCCAAGCTGAATATATAGCCAGATGACATGCAAATAGGGGCCTCCATCTGCTGATTAAAACAGCCCAAACCTGACTCTGCAGCTGGGAGAGGAGCCCCAGCACCAGGATTCCCAGGTGTTCCAGTCAGTACTCAGGACAGGATACAGACAACTCACCATGGAGTTTGTGCTTGGCTGGGTTTTCCTTGTTGCTCTTTTAAAAGGTAATTCAGGGTGAAGAAGAGTCGTTGAGGATGTGAGTGGATATGAGTGAGAGAAATTATAGATGTGTGATAGATTCCTGACCAGGATGTCTTGCCTACAGGTGTCCAGTGTGAGGTGCAGCTGGTGGAATCTGGGGGAGACCTGGTGAAGCCTGGGGGTTCCCTGAGACTCTCCTGTGCAGCCTCTGGATTTACCTTCAGTAACTATGGCATGAGCTGGGTCCGCCAGGCTCCAGGGAAGGGGCTGCAGTGGGTCGCATATATTAGCTATAATGGAGGTAGCACATACTATGCAGACTCTGTGAAGGGCCGATTCACCATCTCCAGAGACAACGGCAAGAACACGCTGTATCTGCAGATGAACAGCCTGAGAACCGAGGACACGGCCCTGTATTATTGTGCAACAGACACAGTAAGGAGCCCTCAGTGTGAGCCCAGACACAAACCTCAGTGTAGGACGGGATCTGGACCACCAGGGTGTGCACACCACTCACCAATCCTGTCTTT